ACATACTGAGTGTACCACTTGAACTTCCTATACAGTATGAATTTTTTTGCCTCTGGCTCCTTTCACTCAGCATAAAGCTTTTGAGGGTCATCCATGTGGTGTGTGTACTAGTATCTGTAGTTCCGTATTGATTGCTGTTCCTCCATGCCTCAGCATCTGTTTGTGCATTCTCCCATCGATGGACCCCTGGACCAGTCTGGGGCTATTATGAGTAAAGCTGCTGAGAGCGCTTGGCTTCAGGTCTTTTGTTTGTTTTTGGTTAATCCTCACCCAAGGATATTTTCCCATTGATTTTTAGGGAGAGTGGACGAGAGAGGGAAAGACAGTAAGAAACATCGATGTGAGAGAAATACATCGATTGGTTGCCTCCTGCACAAGCCCCGACCAAGGCCCGGGCCGGGGAGGAGCCTGCAACCCTAACCCTTGACCAGAATTGAACCTGGACCCTTTGGTCTGCAGGCCAATGCTCTATCCACTGAGCCAAACCAGCTAGGGTGTCTTCGGGTCTTTTAGTGGACATCCGCTTTCCTTTTTTCTTGGGTTTACACGCAGGCATGGAATGGCTGGGCCAGAGGGCGAGCGTATGTTAAGGTTTATGAAAACCTGCCTTTTCCCAAAGTGGTTGTGCCAGTGTGCGTTCTCCCCGGCAATGTACGAGAGTCCTCATTACATCCACCCTCCACCAAGTGATGGTGGCAGGCTTTGTAATGTTAGCCATGCTGGTGGTTGGGACGTGGTATCTCATTGTGGTTTCAATTTGCATTTCCCTTATGACTAATGAGGTGAGCGCTCTTTCACCTGCTTTTTGGCCATTTGTATGTCTTCTTCTTTGAGGGCTCTTCCAATCTTTTGCTCATTTTATAAATTAACTAGAGGCCCGGTGCACGAATTTGTGCACGGGTGGGGTCCAGCCTGCCCGCCCCAATTTGGCCGATCGGGCTGGGCCGGCTGGGGGGAGGGGATGCGGGAGGTTGGCCGGCCGGCCCCACCCCCTGGTCAAACTCCCAGACGAGGGGACAATTTGCATATTAGCCTTTTATTATATAGGATTTGCTCGTTCTCTGTTGCATGCATGTTTTGCAAATATTTTCTCCCCACCTGTGGTTTGAGTATTCATTTTCTGAATGAGGTGTTTTGATGGGCACAAGTTTAAATTGTGATGCATCTGATTTATCCGTCTTTTCTTGTATGGTTCTTGCTTTCTGGGTCCAATGCAATAAACCTTTGCCTGCCCATTGGAGAGAATGTTGGAGGGGGTCATAGAGAACCTGTAGGAGCCCCAGGTGGGGATGTGCCGCTTTTGCTGGGCAATGAAGAGCAGCCTTTGTAGGGGAGTCTATGGGGAGGTGCTGTTCAGAAAGGGATACCTGCAGTATTAGTAGACTGGACTGATTCCTTAGGCAGTGGGCGCCATTGACGGCTTCAGAGCAGGGGAGGACGTGATCGCAAGAGAGGGATGGCACAGTCCCGGGATGCGAGAGCCTGGGGCAGAGTTTCTTCTTGGTCACCTTGAAAGCAGGGCGTGCCCCCTGCCAGGGAGCTGGAGGCAGGGGTGCAGGTTCATCTCTGTGGCTCCCCGAAGACTCTCCGGGGGCCCAGAAGCCACCCAGTCCCCACTAGGACTTAATGGGCCCATTTCTTGCCAAAGAAGCCTGGGGATTGGTGTGGGCCAGTTGTCAGAAGGCAGCCCAGGGAAGGTGTCCACGTACATGGGTTTATTTATTTATTTACTTGGTTAATCCTCACCTGAGGATATTTTTCCATCGTTTTTTAGAGAGAGTGGAAGGGAGGAGGAGAGACAGAGAGAGAGAGAAACATCGATGTGAGAGAGACACATCGATTGGTTGCCTCCTGCACACACCCGACCAGGGCCGGGGTTCAAGCCTGCCCTTGGCTGGAATCAAACCCGGGATCCTTCAGTCCGAGGGCCAACGCTCTATCCACTGAGCCAAACCAGTTAGGGCTCCATGTCCATGGGTTTAGCGCCAACTCTCCAAGAATCCTTACAAGGACCCCTGCCCTTCCCCACGCTGACCTCGCCCCCTCCCTAGCTCCTGCCACCTCCCTGGCTTCCTTGCAGTTTTTTCTAGATCAGATAAATAACATAAGCCCTGTGTCTGGAATCTCTTCCCCTCGCCAGCACTGGTCATCATCTGACATACGCTAGGTCCCTCATTGTCCTTGTCTATCGCCACCCCTCCCCCCCAGGAAGTGGCTCCAACCTGGCTCATCCCTCCCCCGGCCTCTCCCCACAGCAAATGCCAACCCTGATCACTGGTGCCCCTGGGCAACAGCACGGGAACTCACAGGGCAAAGAGCCACATCTTCCTGGCTCTATAACTAGGTTTTGATATGTGTGTGTTTTTTGAATCATTTTGTTCTCTGATCTAACCCAGTGCCTAGACCAACATCTGGCACTAGCAGGCCCTCAGAAAATATTCGTAGTATGAATGAATGCGAGGCAAACCCCTCATTTCTACCAGGGGTCACCCAGGGCCACTCAGCCAGTGGAGGAATCTTCCCGGCCACCCCTGCCCATTGCACAGATGAGGAGATTGAGACCCTGAGAGGGACCGGACTTGCCCAGTTTGTGGCAGAGCAGAAAGGAGCCTATAGCTCTCACCCCAGCTGCCATTAGAGTCCTCATTGCCCCCCCAGGGAGGCCCTGGGCCAAGGGAGGAGATTTGAGGATGATCATCAAGCCTTTTGGTGCCAGAAGATATTTTTGGTTTTCAAGGGGGCGGGGGGCGGGGGGTTAGAGGAAACTAATGGGCCCTGAAGTGCTTGTTTTCTGAGTAATTCTGGCTCCTCTGTTTCAACTTCTCTCCCAGAGGAGATGCTGCAACCACACTTTAGGGCTTGGGAAGAGGTTACATCAACAGCAGCTGGGCTGCCCCGGTCTTGAGCTCCGAATGAGACCCACCAGGCCCCAATGTCACAGCCTGTGGACACCCTGGGGCTGCCCTGCTGCCCCCACGCCCCCAGCCCCGTGGTGCCCCCTACTGCCTGGGACACTCCTGCCGCCCTGGTAACCTGGCACCGTCTTCTGTGTGGACCCAGAGGGAAATCCATAAATAGCCACACGCACACACAGATCCAGGAGCGGGAGGGCCTCTCGGAGGCTTTGGGAGTGGGGCGTCAGGGGAGGAATTGTAGCACAGTGACGTTGACATGTCCGCATCACCTCACATCTCCCTGCTCAGGTCTCTGCAAAACCCACCTGCTTAACACAGCACAGCTCTGCTGGACCGTTTAATCCACTTCCCGGGTCCCCTCACCCACCCCCCCAACCACCACCAGGACCCCACCCTCCTCTTTAGGAAATGCTATTCCCTCATCAGGACTTCTGGGTCCTGCTGCCCTCTGGCCCCTCCCCACGCCCCAGGAAGTGGCTCCATCCTGGCTCATCCCTCCCCCAGGGCCTCTCCTGACAGCAAATGCCAACCCTGATCACGGGTGACCCTGGGCAGCGTCACAGGGACACACAGGGCAAAGAGCCACAGCCTCCTGGCTTCATAACTAACTACCCCCTTTGGCCTGATTAAGGCCTCACCCCTGCAGACTTAGTTCCTCCCTCAGGTGGGATGCAAACAGCCCATGCAGCCCACCTGACTCCGGGTTGGAGGCACTCAGATGCCATCCCTCCTTTTCTAGAATCACAGTGTGTTTGTGGACGGGGGGTGGGGGTGGGGTGGGGGGGAGTGCTCCGGGCAGGGTCCAAGATCTCGTAAACTGGACCTCTGCTTTGGTTTTGCTGTTTCTTAAGCCCGAGGCTCTCCTCTGCCCCCCTCCCTGGCCTGTCCCGTCCTGCTGGTGGGGGCAGGGATGCTGACTGGGAGGGGGCACAGGAGACACTTCTGGAAATGTCTGTATCAGCGCATCCAACAGGTAGAACACAAGCCTCGTAGGTAGTTGTAGATCTTCTAGTAGCCACATGTAAAAAGACATCAGTGGAATTAATTTTACTAATGTTTTATTTAACCCAGTATATCTAAACGATTATCATTTCAGAGTGTAATCAATGTAAGTTATTATTAATGAGCTATTTACAGTCTTTTTTTCATACCAATAGTGTTCAAAACCCTGTGTGCAGGTCTCAGCTCAGACCACCCACTTTTCTTTTTTTAATAACTGTGTACACTCAATATTAGTTTGTATGAGTTTCAGGTGTACAGCATCGTGGTTAGACAATCATGTACTTTACAAAGTGTCCACCCCAATATTTTCAGCACCCACCTGGCACCATGCATAGTTATTACAGTATCATTGACTGTGTTCCCTATGCTGTACTTCATGTCCCTGTGACTATTTTGAAACTACCAATCTGTACTCTCAATCCCTTCACCTTTTCACCCAGTGCCCTAAATTCCCGGGCCCCAAACCACCCTTTTTAAAAAATATATTTTTGTATTGATTTCAAAGAGGAAGGGAGAGGGAGAGAGAGATAGAAACATCAATGATGAGAAAGAATCGTTGATTGGCTGCCTCCTGCACACCCCACACTGGGAATTAAGCTTGCAGCCCGGGCATGTCCCCTGACCGGGAATCGAACCATGACCCCCTGGTTCATAGGTTGACGCACAACCACTGAGCCACACGGGCCGAGCTTGACCACCCATTTTTCAGAGCTCAGTTCCCACATGTAGCTACAGTATCGGACAGCACAGTTTTCTGCCTTGATCTGGGTTGTAGCCGACAGGCATAGACACTGTAAGAATTTGTCTAACTGTATGCTAGAGACTGGTGCATTTCACTGTGTGTAAGCTACATGTTCACTAAAAAGGTTCTTAAAATCCTGTTCAGAGTTCTGCTCAAATGCACCCTCTGGCTCATCCCTCCCCCAGGCCTCTGAACCCACCCTGGACTGGGATTAGCTACTTCCCTCACACTGTGTTTCTGTGAGGTTCACTCCAGTGTTGTCCTACCGCTGGTTGTTTCTATCTATGTTTAACCCATCCAATATAATAAAAGCCTAATATGCAAATCGACTGACGGGCGGAATGACCTTCCTGAACGACCAGTGGGCGGGGGCGGGGCCTTGGGGCCGCGAGGCAGCCAGGGCTGCGAAGGCCTACCCTTGCACGAATTTCGTGCATCGGGCCTCTAGTTTTGTTATAAGCACCGAAAGGTGAAGAGTTCATTCATTTTTAACACCCTCGGGGGCCACTGGCTTCCTAGGTGCTAAATAAGTCAGCAGGTTGCATTGAGCCCCCACTGGTTCTAAACCCCTCCCCGTGGGGCTGCAGAATCGGCTGACCGTTTGATTCTGTTTTCAGTCCTAGTCCAGAGGTTGATAAAAGAGAGGAAGAGGAGGAGGAAGATGGCATGGGGCCTTGTCCGCCGGTCACCCCGAAGAACTGCCTTGCTCCCCGGGGCATCAGCGTCCTGGAGAAACTCGTCAAAACGTGCCCGGTGTGGCTGCAGCTGGGCCTGGGCCGGGCCGAGGCGGCCAGGATCCTGCACCGGGAGGCGGCCGGGGTGAGTCGGGGGTCTCTTCATCTCGTGGTCAGTGGGGCAGGTACAGCTACAGGGAGCTGCGCATTAGCTTTCCTTGCTTATGTTTATTAGCTTCCCAACCAGGGTGACTTTTCCAGAGCTCAGGAGTGAGTGGGGCCTGGTGGGAGGGCTGGTTTCTGCTTGGAGAGCAGGTGTCCCCGCTGGAGCGCAGGGCAGGTGTGGATGGGTGGGCCCTCTGATTTGGGCACCGGAGGCAGGACTGACACTTCGAGAACTGAGCCAGGTGTCTGGGGACTAGAGAGAAACAGAAGCGGACAGACCTGAGAAATCGTTTTACACCCCTTATTTACACATGAAAATAGGGGCTGTGCGATGGGGCCACAAGATTTCTTTGGAATCAGGCTCTGTGAGTTGGGCAAAGGCTCACATTCGCTGAGTCTCACTTTCCCCCTTTGAAATGGAGCCGCGAATAGCACTTTCCTCCCCGTAGGGTAAGCCCCACACGGGGAGAGGGGCCGGTGGGCAGGAAGGGTGAGTCAGCGCTCACCCAATGCCACCCCCACCCACCCCACGCAGTTTCTCTTACGTGCCCCTTCCCTTCTAAAAAAAGAAGGTACAGTTAATTTGTTCAATTATAAAAGGGATATGCGTGTTCATTGCAAAAAAAATAAAACTGGACAAAAGTGATAAAATAAGAAGTATCTTATAAAGTTCTTTGCCACCAGTTTTTTTTTTCAACTAACCCAATTCCTACAAGTCTTTTTGCTTGTATTTTTTTTAACGACGTGAAATTCAGTTAACATAAAAGTAGCCATTTCCAAATGCACAATTTAACACATTCACAATGTTGTGTGGCCACTACCTCTATCTAGTTCCAAAACATTGCGTCACCCCGAGATGAACCCCGTAGCCCTTAAGCAGCCAGTCACCCCCCAGTCCTCCCTCCCCAGGCCCCGGCAATCCCCAGCCTGCTCCCAGAAGTCACTTTTCTAGAAGTGCATGTGTTGCTCTCCAGCCCTTTTCCATGGAGAGTCCCACTTCTATGACAGCTCCTGTTCCCTAAGTACTTCCTGTTCCAGGCAGTCGTCTAAGTTCTTCCCGTGAATCAGCACAGTTTATCCTCGCAGCGGCCCTCTGGGGCAGGAAGGACTATTCTGCCCATTTAACAGAGGAGGTAACTGAGATACAAAGTTGAGTGACTTCCCCCAGGTGACACAGGGAGTGAGGCCCACGCTGGAACTTGAACCCCGGCCATCTGGGTGCTCCTGTGCTGCATAGTACACACACGTTTTATGTGACGCAGACGGAATCGTATCTTTCAGCCATTGGGCACTTTTGCGGTCCTCACCTTCTGTGTAGCCTACGGTGCTGCACTGTGTCCGGGGGCTAGACCACGCTCATTAGTTCATGGGCTGCGTTGGTCAGTGGACTCCTTCTCACTTTGGACGAGATAAAATCCATCGGGTTGGCAATGGTACCTGGAAATAGGAATTACTGCCACATATGGGGCTTCCAGCAAAGTCCCAGAGTTGGAGCAGATGCGCTTTCTGTTCCCTGCTCTGCCCTTCCACCCCACTCTGCCCCAGGAGCTGCCGTATTTTCCAGGAGAAGCAAAGCCCTAAGCTCATGTTCTGCATAAAAGATTGGCCAACTTTACCCAACGTTGCTCTTTGCCTGATCTTATTCATCCTCACAGAGTTGTCTCTGGTATCAGTGTCCCCATCCCCAGGGGGAAATGAAGGCACAGAGACTTGGGCTCACTGGCCTGAGCTCACACAGCTAGAGGAGCAGAGCCTGCAGGGGATGGCCTTCAGGGAGGCTGGGAAGACCCTTTGCTGCATAATGTCACCCCCACCGAACTGTCCAACACCCCCCCCAAGTGCAATGCCTTCAGTGTTTTTTGTGTGTGTTTTTTTAAATATATTTTATTGATTTTTCACAGAGAGGAAGGGAGAGGGACAGAGAGCCAGAAACATCGATGAGAAACATTGATCAGCTGCCTCCTGCACACCCCCCACCGGGGATGTGCCCATAACCAAGGTACATGCCCTTGACCGGAATCGAACCCGGGACCCTTCAGTCTGCAGGCCGACGCTCTATCCACTGAGCCAAACTGGTCAGGGCGCCTTCAGTGTTTTTAAAGATGCAGATACTGTGTGGGTGGTCCTTAGGCTGTGAGCACTCATAGGGTCTTCTAAGACCACCTGGACCCACCCCTCCTGGCACCAATGAGCGACAGTGCTTCATCCAGTCTGGAGCCAGTGGTCAGGAGAGTGGAGATCCAGGCCCTTTTTGCCCAAATATCTATGTGACCTTGACCATGTCCACCCCTTTCACCACTCCCCTTCTCCCCTCCCTGCAGCCTGCTTCTCTCTGATAAGGTGGGAACATATTGGCCCGATTTTTATTTTTGTGTGTGTGTATGGAGAAACAAGGCAATCAGAAAGCCACCTTTATTCATCCTACACCCAAATGGTATTTTTGTGTGTTTGTTTTATTTTTAGAAGTGTTAGATTTATAGAGAAGTTGCAAAGAGAGTACAGAGGGTTCCCTTATAGATCCCTGACCGGGTTTCTCTTGTTGACGTCTAACATTATTAGGGCACATTGGTCACAGTGAATGAACCAAGACTGACACACCCGTGTCAACAAAAGCCCACAGTTTATTCAGATCCCCTTAGCTTTTGCCTAATGTCCTTGTTCTGCGCCAGGATCCCTTCCAGGGCACCATGTCCTCGCCGTGTCTCCTTGTCATCATGTCGCATGGCTGTGACAGTTTCTCAGACTTTGCTTTTGACGACCTTGACGGTGTTGAGGAGCACTGGTCGGACATTTTGTAGAACACCCCTCAGCTGCGAGTCGTCCGGTGGTTAGACTGGGGTCATTCTCATCACATCATCTCAAGGGCACATAGTAGCAACATGATTCGTCACTGTTGATGTTGGCCTTGGTCACCCGGCTAAGACCATTATTTGTCACTTCCTCCACTGTAAGGTTGCTCCTCTCCTCCTTCCATACTGTCCTCTTCAGAAGGAAGTCACTGTGCACAGCCCACACGTAGGAAAAAGTCACACTCCACCTCTTCGATTAGCCACATAAATTATTTGCAATTCTTCTGCATAAGACATGTGTCTCTTCTTCCCCGTTTACTTATTTATTCAGTCATTGACTTATACCAATATGGACTCTGGATATTTATTTTATGCTGGGGTTACAATCCAATACTGCTTTATTTTGTTACTCAATTACTCCAGCATTGGCCACCAGGAGTCTCTCCGTTGGCTCCTGTGTCCCTTGGACTTGCCCCCTTGTGTGTGGGTTTTGTTTGTTTGCTCATTAGTTTTTTGGAGCCCTCCCTTACTTTCCGTCACTACCAGATGCCAGGCTTATCTTGTATTTTCTTGTGTGTTCTTGTTAATCCTCACCCAAGGATATTTTTCCATTGATTTGCTTTTTCTTTTCTTTCTTTTTTTTTTTTTTTTTTTTTTTTTTTTTAGAGAATGGAAGGGAGGGGGAAAGATAGAGAGAAACATCAGTGTGAGAGAGACACATTGATTGGTTGCCTCCCGCATGTGCCTGGACCAGGGCAGGGGATCGAGCCTGCAACCCAGGTATGTGCCCTTGACCAGAATTGAACCTGGGACCCTTTAGTCCTCAGGCCAATGTTCTATCCACTGAGCCAAACCAGCCAGGGCTCCTCCTGCAGAGGTCGTGCAGGAGGCAGCCGATCAATGATCCTCCCTCCTCAAATATGTTTCTATCCCTCTCTCTCCCTTTCTTTCTGAAATCAACAAAAATATATTTTTAAAAAACCACCACGTCTCAGCCTCAGCCTTAGAAATGCGGATTCTTTGGCTTGGAATGGGGCTCAGGCATCAGTGGGCTTTAAAAGCTCCCCAGGTGGTTCTGTTGTGCAGCCAGGATTGAGAAAGCCCACCCCATGCTATGATACAGCGTCCAGAGTGGGCTCCGGCCACTGGATCACCGGCCTCCACAGGCGCGGCAGCCCCTGCACCCGTGGCCTCGACAGGCGCGGCAGCCCCTGCACCCGTGGCCTTGGGAAGACTAGCCACTCCGTTCCGGCCCTGATGGGCCTGATTGGAAAATCTCCCCGAGCAACTGGAAAATAGTCCTAAAATAACAAAAGTGGAAACGCAGACAGCTCGGCATGGTCCAGGCCAAAGCGGCGAGTGAACACAAAACCACTTAGAGTCTCGAGTGTTGGGTCTTCATACGTTTGTGTGGAGAGGAGGGGCACAGTGGCTGCAGACTTCTCTCCCTAAGCATCCCTGTGCCAGCCGTTACTGAAATCAGCTGGTTCCTCCAACCCCCATCGGCAAAGGTAGACAGGGAGGGGCTTCCGGGACCCGCTGACCCTGCCTCTGGCACTGCAGTCATTTACCTGTGAGACTAAACTCATCTTTGCAAAAGCCTCTTTGGGTCCGAGAAGGACCCCAGGTCACTATGCTGGGACGGTACCTGGGGTGGGGAGTGTCCGACCCACGGGCCTTATCGCAAAGTCCTCGTAGAGGGAAGAGAGGAGTCTGAGGCTGCGTGTTTATCTACCCCATGGCTATGTCCCTACCTTCTGTTGCTTAACAAACTGCTCCAAAATTCAGTGACTTAAAACAGACACCTTTGGATTTGCTCACGATTCTGTGGGTCAGCAGTTTGGGCTGAGTTCTGCTGAGCGGTTCTTCTGCCGATCTCTCCCGGGGTCAGCGTGCAGCCACATCGTCTGGCAGTGTGACGAGCTGGCCGGCCTGAGATGACCTCACTCACATGTCCAGCGGTTGTGCCCGCTGTCGGCGGGGCCAGCAGACGCCAGCAGGCTCACGCAGGTGTCTTCACCTGGCTGTGGTCCGAAGGGTGAGCGTGGAAACTGACATGCCTCTGAGGCCTGGGCTCAGAACGCCACAGCGTCGCTCCTGCTGCGTTCTTTTGGTCCAAGCAAGGCCCAGGGCCACCCTGCCAGGTCTGGGGAAATAGACGTGCCCTCTGGATGAGAGAAGCTGCGAAGAATTTGTGGCCATTTTTAATCTGCCACTTCGTGAATGTTCCTTGAGTCCTTTTTCTAGCTCTTTGTTTGGATAAAGATACATCATCATATAAATAATTGTTTATCAAATGAGATGATGCATGTAAAAATGCCTATAAAAATCTTAGCATGTGGTTTAGTGCTCAGTGAATGCTAGCAGTTTATCTGAATAAGTATTATCATTTAAGTGCAGACTCTGTGCCAGGCATTTCACATACACGATCAGCACTCCTCACAGCAACCCTGAAAGACGGATATGATTACTGTCATGGGCAGATGCGGAAACTGAGGCCCAGAGAAGTAGAAGGGACTCACCCACAGACCCATAGCTAGTAAGTGGCAGGGCTGGGATTCTAGTCGCACTGCACCTCCCAACAGCTACCTGCAGGGGATAGAGAAAGAGAAGCAAGGGGGGCTGGGAGAATTTGCACACGGAACCCCCAAGGGTGTTGGAGGAAGAGCTCTGGGTGGCCCACCAGCACGTTTGCCCGCTCTGTGGGAAGCATCTCCTTAGAGGATAAGCAGTGGGCACTCGGTGAAGGTGGGGCCCGGGGGAGCTCACACAGGTGGTCTCCCTCCTCGCAGTGACCTTGGCTGCACTCCCCGGGTGTAAGCCCAGGAGACTCGCCGGAGCTTAGAATGCTTTGCAGGGGTCACTGCTCTGCCTTGTCTCCCGGTTTGCGGTTACTTCCCAGAAGCGGCCCTGTGACTAGCTGCGCAGCTAAACCTCCCTGAAGGGGGAAGGAGGAACAGGCTGTCTTATTCCAAAGGACAGTGGCCAGGGCAGACCATCGGCTGGGGTTCTGCCCACAGCAGGCACCTGTGAGGGCCCCTCCCCACCTGACCCCCTAACTCGTAGCCTCTTATACCCGCAACCCCCTCCCCCCAGTGCCTAACTTGGCTCTCAGAGGAGAACCCCAGGCCTTGGCCACGGCAGAGGAGGCGCTATGTGAGGCTGTAGCCATGCGGACAGAGGTGGGAGTTCGGGTTCAGAGCTGAGGGGCTTGTCAGAGACCAGCCTGGGGAGCTTTCCACCCTTCACACCACCCCCGAGGAAGTAGATAACCAGGTGATGGCAGAGATAAGCGAGATGCTCACGGTGACACCTGGGCCTGCATCCTGTGTCTGCACTTCCTGTCCACATGGCCTTGGGTTTCTTTGATCTGTCTGTGCCCCACATCTTCATCCATCAGAGGGAACAGTAACAGTACCAACGCCATAGGCCTGCGGTGAGAACTGGGTGATGCCCGGTGTAAGGTGCCTGGGCCGGAGCGCAGGCCTTAGCCGCTCTTTTAACTTGTGGCTCCATACCGTCGACTGGACCACTCTCTCCAGGAAACCCCTCCTTCTTCTTTGCACAATAAACACGTAAACACGTGTGGTTCTAGATGGAGCCTGGGACTGGGAGCCTGAAGGACAAAGCCCAGCAGCGGGGTGGGGGGTGGGGGCATCGGAAAACACATATATAATTACATAGTGTTTTTGTGATTAATCACTATGCTTTAATTATGTTCAATTTGTAACAATGAAAATACATCCTGCATAGCAGATATTTACATGACGATTCATAACAGTAGCAAAATTACAGTTATGAAGTAGCAACGAAAATAATTTTATGGTTGGGAGTCACCACAACATGAGGAACTGTATTAAAGGGTCGCGGCATTAGGAAGGTTGAGAACCACTGTTCTAGATGGAGCCTGGGACTGGGAGCCTGAAGGACAAAGCCCAGCAGCGGGGTGGGGGGTGGGGGGTGGGGGCGTCTGTGGAGACCCCCTTGTCCCGTGGGCCATGTTCCTGTGCCGTATCTCAGTTACTTCTTCCAACCCTGAGGGCTTTGACTTCCTTCCTTGCTTCTGTGGGTGGTCTTCGGTGTTAGTCACCCCATTTGCAGACCAGAACACTGAGGCTCAGGGAAGCCACGGAATTTCCCAGGCCCCCGGAACTCATAGCAGGCTGCTCCCCTGGCTGGTCGCTGACAAGCCCTCATGCAAGCCCCCAGGCCTCTCCTGGTGGATCTGGGCCCATCACCCTCCCTGCATACCAATGGGTCACCAACCAGGGGCTCCTCTGAGCTTCAGGGTCCAGAGGTCTATTGGGCGGGGGGGGGGGGGGTTCCAACCCCCTTTGAAACTCAGGGCCCACCAGGAGTCACCTGTTAGCTTAAACTCAGGTGCGGTAACGAGGGGCTATTTGTGGACAACAGAAGACACTCCTGTCCTATCACTCAGGAAATTCCAGGGGTTTTTGAAGCTTTGCCAGGAGAGGGGGACAAAGGCCAGATGTATTTTCATAAATCACCCCCACACTCACTCGTTCTCACACACACACCCTCTCCCGCTCCCTCGCTGGTTCCCACTTGGTCCTCTGAGGAAGTGGCAGCGTGACCTCTTTTCTCTGAAAGACCGCGTGCTGCTGGGGTCAGCTCAGAGCAAGCCAGGTGTGCTGGGAGCCCAGCGTCGTCCTGGCATCTGGAAGTGAGCCGCCTGCCTGCTGGGTCCCCTGGGGAGGGTCCCTCCAGGGTGGGCCCCTTTGCAGGCAGCATCCGGCCTGCTCCTCATTTCTGCCCCCGGAAGCCTCCCTCCCACCCTCCTCTGTCCGCTCCGAGTTCTCACGCCCTCTGCATGCTCCAGGAGAGGGGCTGGTAAACGCATTGCCAACCCCCGTTCAGTGACTAAGGGGTTCTTGGTGTCACTGCTCCCCAGGGGACGGGCACCCGCAGGGAGAGCACATCCTCCAGGCAAGGGCACCTCTGGGCTGGGCGGAGGGTAGTGCGGTGCTCGGGATCCAGAAGCTAAGGCCTGAGCTCACATCCAGGGCCAGCACTTACTCACCTGTGGCCTTGGGCATGATTAATTCTCCAGGTTTCCTTCCCTGTACAATGGGGATAATAATAGCACCCACCCCCATGGCGTAAGAGAATTAAGTGAGACCATGGAATCTAAGGAACTGGACTTAGGGCTTGGGGCGGACGAGGGAGGCAATATGAGTTAGCTGTTACTATCAATAGTAACGATCTATCATAATAAAAGCATAACATGCTAATTAGACCGGATGTCCTTCCGGAGGAAGCCGGGGCTGCGAGGGAAGCCTGGGTCCCAGGTGCCAGAGGGAAGCTGGTGCCAGCACCTGGGGGAAGGAAGACCTACTCTTGCATGAATTTTGTGCGCCGGGCCTCTAGTATTATTATAATGCTTCATTAACAGTTATAGCAACATTGTATGAATAACAAAGAAATATGATCATAATAATAGTAACAGTAACCATGGCAGAGAATTTGGAGCATCACCGGGGGCTGGTAGGACAGTGGGCCTCGGTGAGGAAAGGGGGGGAAGGGCCATCTCGGTGGTCCTCCAGAGCCCTCATGTGTGGGGCCACGTCTCAGAGCTGTCCTAGCCCCCTCCCCAAGGCCCCCCACCCAGCCTTCCCTCTGCAACTTTGGCAGGACTCCTGGTCTTCCCAGCTCTAGCCCGGTGTGTGGGGCCTGACAGAGGGAAGCTTAGGCCCGGGTGGGATGTGGAGGGAGGGATGGGGGCGGAATGGGGGCTCAGTGACAAGTCCTTTCTCAGGGAAGGAAGGAATGACCTTCCTTGGCCGAGGACACCCAGCCCCCCTCCTCGGGGGAGGCTGTGCCCCTGAAGGCTGGGGACATTCTAGCAGGTGTCAATCATTGCCTGGAAGGAGGGCTGAGCTCGGGTGGGGCCCGGCAGAGGCTAAAAAGGACATTTGAAACCACAGAGTTTGTGAATGAAGCAGGGACCCCTCCCCAGGATGGCTGTGGGAAGTGCAGCCCCTTCATTGAGCAGAAGCACCGGAGAAGCAGAAGGGGGGGTGGGGATGGGGGCGCTGTAAGCGCCAGCTCTGGTTTAGATTCTGGTGATGCTTGGTTACTAGAGAGAGACACATCCCCCAGCCTGAGAGGCAGCGTCTCATTCGACCCCAGCAAACCCCCAGGAGGAGAGAGGACAGGGCCCACCCGGTGCCCAGGCCCAGACGGGCAGGTACTCAGTCATCACAGCAGCCAGAGGAGAGGGGTCCCGTCAGGACCCGCGAGTGCCTCTGTTTCTTCATCTGTAAAATGGGGAGAACAACACAGCTCACGTCAGAGGGCTATTGACAGGAAGGAGCCAGTGAATGTATGCAAAGTATTGATAACAGTTCCTGTCGCAGAGACAGCTCTATGGTGATTATTAGCTATTTTTATTTCTCTGGGGAAAGTCGTGTGAATTGACCCATATCTGTGACCCCTTCCATCGGCCTCGCCAGAGTGTGACTTGTGGGGACCAGTTGAAATCCAACCTGACTCCCGAACGTTAGAACTTTTCTAAGTGTGGACCCTGGACCACCACCCGGGTCAGACTCAGCCGATTCCGGACACACACCCCCCCCAACCGAACCAGCCTCTCTGAGGTGGGACGTGGGACGCTGCAGGTTCCACACCCCTTGCCTAACTCTGTCTACAGCACAGAATTCTTTGGGAAACGTCGATTTAGTTGAACCCCGCTCTGTGGGCAAATGAGAAATTGAGACGCAGGAGCCAGGGGTCATGGGCTGGGTGACACGTGGCTCGTTGGCCAGAATCCCCCATTCTCCTGAGAGATGCTTGACTGTCCAGCCTGCCTCCTTGTTTCTGGAACATTCCAGATGACTTCCATCTCTCTGTTGTCCTTAGAACCTCCCCCCACACGTTGGATTCACGCAGCCCCCTTCTCTGTTGCAGACATTCCTGGTGCGCAGGGACAGCTGCTCGAAGCGCCTGGTGCTCTGTGTCCACTTCCCTTCCCTGAACGCGGGCTCGTCCGAGGTGCTCGAGTACACCGTCAAAGAAGAAAAATCGAGTGAGTACCGTCCTTCCGCTCTGGCCTCCGACCACAGCAGCAGATGCTGCAACCCTAACCACAGAGCCCCCCTGCACCCCCCCCCCCCGCAGGCCGGAGGGGTGTAGAGTTAGAATCGGGGGAAGCTCTCAGCGCTGACGGGATTGGCAGGTCAGTGTCAGTTTCCGCTCACTGTGTGGCTGCTTGCTGGCTGGCTTCCTGGATGCTGCTGTGGAGTTTCCTCCTGTCAGCTCAGGCCGGAGAGAGGCAAGACATGGAGCAGGGATGTCTGGGGCCCCGGGGCCTAGTGACAGCCCAGCACACACTCATGATCTCGGACAAGTCGCTGAACCTCTCTGGGCCTCTGTTTTCTCATCTGTCAAATGGGCACGGTATTCGCCTCCTGCCTGTGCCGCAGGGCCTTCATGAGGGCCAAGTGGGCAGGCGCTTTGAAAGACAAAACTCCTGTGTGCACAGGGCTGCCAGGGGCGGGCTTGCACCTCAGTGGGAAAAGGTTTTTGGACCCCCAATCCAGGGTGGGTTTGTTCCGAGACACAATGAGAGCGTTTGGGCTTCCCCCTCCTCTCATGGGCCACGCCCTGTATTAAGGGCCCAAAAGCCTGTTAGAAGAATCTGAAGAATATGCCAAGTACCAGCTTAGATCCTCTAATAACTGATCCAGGGTGTGTGGGCAGCTTTTTGCTCTTAGTTAGCAATAGTGACAACAGTTAAAGAAAATGAAATAGCCCTAGCCGGTTTGGCTCAGTGGATAAAGCATCGGCCTGCCGGCTGAAGGGTCACAGGTTCGATTCCGGCCAAGGGCACGTACCTCGGTTGCCAGCTCAATCCCTGGCCCCAATCAAGGCGCGTGCAGGATGCAGCCAATCAATGTGTCTCTCTCACATTGATGTTTCTCTCTTTCCGTCTCTCCCTCCCCCTCCACTCTCTCTAAAAATCAATGGGAAAATATCCTTGGGTGAGGATTAACCAAAAATAAATAATAATAATAAATAAAATATGTATTAAGTAGTATTATATGAGTATTATAGGTATATAATATACTTAAATAGTATATACTTAAGTAATTTATGTTTATATAACTAAGTATTATCTAAATATTTTAAAATATTTATTAAATATTGTGGAATGCTTGTTTCCTAAGAGGCACTTATGCCGGACACTGGGACTATGCCAAGATGAATAAGAGAGCCCTGGCTTCTAGGGTCTCCCAGTCTAATAGAGGGTGGGGCGTGGTGGGTGATAAAGACAGACACCCGCACCTGCTGTGCAGTGTGACAGGTGTGACTGCAAGGGGACCCCGGGCTGAGGGGCACAGAGGCCACAGATATCGAATGAATTCAAAGAGTCTGGAGGATTTGGCTAGAAATAAATGATAGAGATGCAGTCAACAGGCCAGGCAAAAACCCAGAAATGTTCCAAAGAAGAAAGAAACGCTGAGAATTCTTACAATATAAAGCACAATTCTTGAACATTATCGGCCCTGCATTCTTAGCCCTAGGACGGCTCCAGGGCCATTACCGGCTGTCAGGTGACCTGGAGGATGGGTGCCAGGAGGTCTGGTCATGTCCAGTGGTCAGGATGATGTCAGGTGGTCTGGCTGCGCGAGCCCTTGGGGAGACAATCGGAAGGTTATCTGGAGGTCTGGTATGTGTGCCGATGTATAGCCAGGCTTCGATGCAGGACGGGAAAGTTCAAAACGTTTACGTTCCAGGCTCGTTAGAACAAGAGTAGAATCGCTTCCTCATACCTCAGCCTGCTCGATTCTGGTAATTTAGCAGCTGGTCTGCAGTGACTGCGTTTATTTCTTCAGCCGGTTCCTCACAGACCGTGGTGGGAAGGATTTGGGAGGGTGCCAAGCAGGAGGGGGCCCAGGCTGGGTCCTGAGGGTGAGTGTATGAGACAAAGGCTAATTTTCTAGCTCGGGAGTCGGAGGAGACACTGAAGGCAGAGGTTGGTTCCTGCTCTTGCTGTCCGGGGTCCTTTCTATGGACTCACGAAGAATGGGTAAAACAGAACTCACTCGTTCGTGTGCTCAACAGATTGTTATTAAGCGACTACTCTGTGTCAGGCGCGGTCCTTCCACTGGGGACACAGCGGGAAACAACACCCAGTCCCTGCCTCTCAGAGCTTAGGTTGGGGTGGAGGGAGGAGACAACAAGGAAACCATATTGGGTGGCTGTCAATCAGATGGAGCCAGGCTACCCAGAACATGGAGGTGGAAGATCAGCCAGCTGCTGGGATAATGATAAAAAGGCGTAATGGCTTAAGCATTGAAGAGGCTAGTTTCCCGCTCATGTGCACGATTCCTGGTCTGCGGGTAAGGCTCAGGGATCCTGGCTGGTGGAGGCCCTGCCACCTTCAGCACAGCTTCCAGTTTCCCATGGTTGACTCCACCCAATAGGCTGGAAGGGGAAACCACCTGGAGGAGGCTTGTGGGCGGATTTACCCGGTCCTGGAAGTGTTACCTGTGCTTGTATTCCATTGGCTAGAACCAGTCATGTGACCGTACCTAACTGCAAGGGAGACTGGGAAATGTGGTCCAGACGTGTGTCCAGGCAGAAGCAGAGGGCCTGGATTTTGGTGAACTGCTAGAGTCTAAGGTTACAGAGTGTGTAAGGTTGTTAATTTATATAGCAAACCTTACTGACCCCCCATCCTGCAGTGTCCAGCAGGAAAGAAAGTGTAGGAATCTCAAAGAGGAAAGAAACAACGTCATAGTCTCCCCAGAGCAAATATCTAGCACCCTCTACCGACTGCAGGAGGGGTGAAGTTGTTTGGGGCACCTACTGCTCTCCAAGAACCCTTTCTCTGACGGTCTCAGCAGGTGCCTCTGCGGCTGCAGACACCCTGGGTGCTCTCTTGAGGTCATGGGAGAGGGACAGACATGAGTCTATCTGCTTGTGGACTTGTGTAGTCCTGCCTCTTGATGAGAGTAACCGGGCTTTGGGAACTGACCTAGACACTAGTTAGCTACTACAATCCTTTAGAAACCCAACGGCCAAATATACTTTAAATTTTAACACCGACATCAGGAAAGTAGCTGGAAGTGGGGAGTAGTGATGTGCTGAGCCTGTTACACACCAACATGTGCTCTAGAAGTGCAAGGGGGGAGCATGGTTCAAGGTCAGGCTGATCGGGAAGGCTTCTCAGAGGAAGAGGGAATCGGGCTGGACCGATGGAGAGTCTGGAAGTTCTGCTCTTCTCCTTTGCCCCGCTGCTTCTTTCCCATCTCTCTGCCCCAGCCTCCAGGGCAATCTCTTCTAGGTGCCTCCAACCCAATCCACCCCCCCAGCTGCCCCAGCCTCTTGGAGCTTCATCAGAAAGCATGCACAAGCCTGCCCAATGGGACCAGGACACCGTGTCTGGTGGCATGTCTCATTTCTAATTAGGAGACGAGAGGACAAACCAGGGCACTTAGGGATGGAGGCAGCTTTCTTCTCTGGGTTTGTGACTTTCTCCCAGAGCCATGTGGTAGAATCTCAGTTTCCATTTAAAAAAAAATATATATTGTTATTGATTTCAGAGAGGAAGGGAGAGGGAGAAAGAGATAGAAACATCAATGATGAGAGAGAATCATTGATCGACTGCCTCCTGCACTCCCCCGCACTGGGGACCGAGCCCGCAACCCCGGGCATGTGCCCTGACCGGGAATCAAACCGTGACCTCCTGATGCATAGGTCGATGCTCAACCGCTGAGCCATGGCCAGCCAGGCTCATTTTCCGTTTTTAAACTTTTAAAAAGTTCAGTACCCAGCTTTGCTGAAAAGACTGTCAACACCCAAACCAAAAATCCTTTATGTAACATAACTCCTCTAATCTTGATTCGTGTCCATTCACTGTAACTGCACAGATGTTGTCTATAGGTTTGTACATGTTTTGTTTTGCTCTTCCTTTATGTTACTTCACTGCTCCCCATACCTCTGATCCCTGAGGTCTCCCCTGCCCCAAACCCAGACAATAGCAGGAGAGCAGCAGGTAATGGGTATCTTTGCCATGTTGCTTCGCTGAGCCTACCTTTTTCCTTGTCTCCCTGTTCGGTGGTTTCCTCCCCAGCATCGTGCTGGGGCACAGCCTGTGTTGGAACCCAGGGCTGCTTTTACTGCCTGTGTGACTTTGGGCACCAGGCTCCTGCAATGGGAGTGATAGCGGTGCCTCCCCCGGCAGGTGCAGAAGGAGTTAGTGTGTCTGAAGTGCCTAGGGCCCCAGCCAGTTTGGCTCAGTGGATAGAGCGTCGGCCTGAAGACTGAAAGGTCCCAGGTTCGATTCCGGTCAGGGGCACATGCCCGGGTTGCGGGCTTGATCCCCAGCATTGATGTTTTTCTATCTCTCTCCCTCTCCCTTCCTCTCTGAAATAAATAAAAATATATTTTTTTAAATAAATAAATAAAGTGCTTAGGACAGGGAGCCTCTCTCCACTTGGTAGATGGGATGCTGCCTGATTCATAAATCGCTCAATAAAGCCAATTAGATCTTTTAAAAAAAAGATAATAAAGTGCTTAGGATAGTACGGGGAACAATAAAAGTTAGTGTTTGGTGTTGTTGTTAATCCTCCCGCAGGATTAAGCCAAAAGGCGGAGTGGAATGAGCCTACTACACACGTGGTTGCAGGGCTCTGGGTCAGTCCCAGCGTGCACTCGGGGACCACTTTGTGGTCCCTCTTGGGAGAAGGGAGCCATTAGCCTCCGAGTCCTCCTGCGGCTGTGGTGGCTGCAGTGAGGGGCAGCCTGAGGAGGAAGTGGGCAGGGAAAGGCCCAGGGCCTAGAACTGGGGCCTTTTGTTGGGATTCCCCACCCAAAGCTGAGGCCAAGGAAGGAGACAAGGGGATCCCCCAAAAGTGGGTGGTCAGTGTCATCTGTGGCCCCGCTCTGTTTGCTCTGAGGGAGAAAGACTCCCCTGGACCACCTCTATGAGTCTGTGTGCTTGGATTGCCTCTGGTCCCTTGTTCAGAGTTTCTTTGCAAAACCCTGAAGCCGTCAGCTCAGACTAGTTATGCCGCAATA